TATTGTGTAGTTTGAATTATTGTTTCAAATTTGTCGCCTTTTGCTTCATCATAGTCTTGGATATTAGCTTTAATCTTGGTATAGTTTGGGTAGTTATTTTGTTTTTTAGTTTTGTATAGTTTGAAAAAAAATAATAACTCGAGGTTAATATTTAAAATCTTAGACCAAATTAGTAAAGAGGGTAAAAGAGAATTCTTACTGATGTAATATTCTAAAAAATATATAGAAATGTTAGGCAAATTTTAGGGTAAGAAGAAAATAATTTACTGACAGAAAAAGATAATTCAATTATCTATTTTGTTTTTAGTTTTTAGTTTTGTTAATATACTTTTAATTTTATGCTTAAAAAATGAAATAATTTGTTACCAAGTTTTTCAATTTGTAATATGCGTTTTTAGATCTTAGACCATTTTAAAACTGGAACTAGCAATTGGTCTAATTTTGTTTTGAGTTTTTAAATTTTTTAAATTGGGGTTGCCTACTAATTTCTTCGTGGTTTTGCGATCTATTATTTAAAAAATATTGTTACAATCTTAGAGAAATTTTTAAATTAAATAAATGATTTTTCTTCTTTTGAAATTGGCTAAGGTTTTTTTTTTTTGAAAAATACAGAAATTATTAACAAACAACCTTAATTTTCGTAACTAAAAAAAAAAGAAAAACCTTAATATCATGTTGAATTCATTTTTGTTTTAGAAATGAAATATTAGTCAAACTCAAAAGAAACCAATAACAAAATTATATATATTTGTTAATTTTTTAAGTTTGGCTTTAAATTCTAAAAGTTTATTTTTTCCACCAATGCATATTACAAAGATAAATAAATTATTTAAAAATAAATTTAATTTCAGAAAACAAAACACAAAAATAACAATACAAGAGTAAAGTGATGAGACAACATCTTTATATTTAAAAAAACAAAAAGAATGAAAATGTATGAAATGAAAGCATGTTATGATTAAAGTTGGGTCTAAAAACAATATATAATATTCAAAAGGTTTGAAATAATAATTAAAAAAAAAAAAGATAAATGTGCTTTATTTTTAAGGCCACAGATCTTTAGCTTTAGTTTTATGGACACAAAGTGAAGAGGAAAGAGCTTGAGATTTGCTTTAAGAAATAAAATGTGCATTAAAAATATCAATTGAGGTGGTGCCCTTCATGCTATTAGAATACCTTTTTTCTTATTTTATATACATTTTTAAAATATCTATTTTTGTTTATTAAAATTTTAAAAGTTTAGTCTGATATTCACTCATCCAATGCCTGCCTTCAACCAATTTATGTTGTTTCGATATAGGCTCATGTTATTATATTAGTCATACACATTTAAAAGCTAGATCATTCGTGTGTTGGAAATGACTGAAAATAACAGTACATGCCAAATAGAAATTATAAAAGTTTTGGAATCAAAATAGAATAAACTTGAAAGCACATAAACTCAGATARACATTTTATTAATTTTGAAGGCTAAAATAGATAATTCAAGAGTTCACAAACTAAAATAAAATAGAAAATATTTATGTTTTGACTGGTCAACTATCGAGTTTTTGACAAGTAGAAGAGAAAAATGTGTAGTTTTTATTATTTTTAGAAAAAATAAATAACTATCAAATTTTTAATGATGGTCAATGGATGATGAGAACTAAATATTATTAYGCGGCAAATAAGAGATTAATAGACAAAGAAAGACCAGATAAGTTTTTTTATAAAAAATAAATATCTATCAAAATTCTCAACTACCTTTTTTTTAATTTTCAAAAATTTGTTTTTATCAAATTATCAACTACTCATGAACACTAAGTAGGAAAATGTTACTCACGGAAATAAATCTAAAAATTCTTAATAGTATGTATAATGTTATTTTTTTCACCAACTTGATAATCATTAAACTGATTAAAGTATATATATTAATTAAATAGTGAGAGATTTAAATATTTTTTAGGTGTTAATTAAACAAATAAAATTAGAGAAAATTTTGTTTGTTTTTTAAAATTTGTTTGAGTGATGATTGCCAAGTAAGAGAATAGTGCTTTTTGGCTGTAAAATCAAGAATGGATGCATTATTGAGTCAGCTTTTTTTTTTCTTTTTCTTTTTATTATTATTATTATTATTAATATTATTATTATTTTTGGTGGCATGGGGATGGCTGTGACTTTTCAATATGTATGTCAGTTTAGCATTGCCCTTTTTCCCCCCTGACAGACAGTCTCACTTTTCCCACATGATCTTCTTCCCAATTATCTCTCTCTTTTCTCTTTTGGGCAAAAAATGGATTTAAGCCTTTTTTTCCTTCTTATAATTGTTTATAAAACATGAATATTTCAAATTAATAAACAAGAACTATTGGGTTAGGAAAAAGTAACTTTAGGTTTCATTTGAATAATTCAAACTTAGTAATTAAGAAATATTGTTCTAATCAAGTTATTTAGATACGCTTTTATTTATGATGAAAATAGTCGAGAGATGTCAATAATAACTAATTTACTATAATTTTGATAGTATATAGCTCATCAAGCTGTTAGATATTTCTGTTTCATACTTAGATTTAATCTCCATCTAATTGATATATTAATTTTAAAAAACTATTAAAAAAAGTTAGACCTGACTTGTTCTAATTTTGTTGAGTTCAACCAAAGTTTTCGATGTAGATGTTGAGATCTCAATTATACGTATATATCAATAAAATGTCGATGTCGATAAATATTTATGGAAAAGTTATAAAAAAAATCGTAAAAGCCATTTAAATTAACAAATAAACATTTCATCATTGCTAAAAAATTTTAAAATAGTTAATATTAATATTAGGTCTATATTAGTGAGATTTTGTTGATATTTTTCATATTTTGTCTTTTTTTTTTGTAATATTATGGAAATGTTGATTTTTCCATCATGTCGATGTCGAACTCATGAATACCTGGAAATGTCAACGGATATTTAGTACCATGAGTTCAACATATCTATCATGAGGTTTAAAAAAGTTCTAATTTTTTTTTATAAATGAAAATTAACCAATTAAGCTTACAAAATTTACTATTTATCTTAAAGTTTTAGTGTTTTTAGAGTAAAAAGTATTAGTTTTGAATATAAATTATGTGTTTTTCTAAGAAAAATAAGGTTAATTTACAAGTTTAATCCTAAACAAAGTTAAATTAGTGATATTTTCAAAGTTAAAAAATCTATTAGAGACAAGATTAAAAGTTTAAATACCTACTAGATATAGTTTTGAAAGTTAAATACCAATTTTGTAATGCTAACCTAAATATAGATTAATCCATAAGATACATATTATCGTCAATATAGCTCAATTATTCGATACATATATACTCCATTTATAGAGTTGAAAATTGAAATCTTAATTGAATTAAAAAGAAGAAAAAAAAGACACACGTTTACCATCCTAAAATAAAATAAAAAAATTAAACCATTATCTCTTAATTTCAAAAAAGAGGATAAAAAAAAACCAAAAATCAGCTCTATTTCACCACACTATTGGTGTACTAGTGATTAACATGGTATTAAATATCTATCGATATGTTGACATTTCTATCAACATTCTCGGTAAATCGACATTTTTATAATATTACAAAAAATTTTATAAAATATAAAAAATATACATATATGATTGATATAGACATTATATTAATATCATTTATTTTTAACTTATTTTAAAAATAATAAAATTCTGATGTGTTAATTTAAATATTTTTTACGAGTTTTTTATTTTTATAATTTTTTTTGGTATCCAATCGATTTCTACTTACATTAATGAAATGGACATAGACATCCACGTAAGACTTGTGGATTTATTAATATTATGTGCAAAATGCAGCAAAGTATCTGGGAGTGAAGTCTCCGATTCCGTACAAATGGCGGAAAGTAGGGTTCCGGCAACTGAAGAACGGGATGAACTTCGCGTACGGCGGCACCGGCGTGTTCGATACCTTCATTCTGAGCCCAAACATGAGCACTCAGATCGACTTCCTCCAGCAGCTGATCGACGAGTCGACGTACACCAGCCAAGACTTGCAGTCCTCTGTGGCGCTCATCTCCCTCGCCGGCAACGACTATGCCGTCTACCAAGCCACAAACGGCTCTGCTCAGGTTTCCCCCAAATTTGCTCTCTTATCTAGGAACCCTAATTTAAAAATGCTCTGTTTTTTATTTTATAAATTGATTGTAAATCTTGTTTTTTAAGCATCTCTTGAGTAATTTATAATAGTTAACAGTAAAATCTGCAATAGTTTTGTATGCGAAGTTCTTATGAACAAATGATTTCAAACATCTCCCGATTCATGAAATCCACATATCAGTATCAATCCATTAAAAACAGCGACAAACTTTAATGTGAAAGATATGATTTGTAGTTTTCATAGACCACATAGAAATCTGTTTAGTGTGTGTTTAAGATGAATTTTAAAGAAGGCATTTTTTAAATTAAAAAGTAAACATTTTTTTTATTAGCATGAAGACTTGCTCCTTAGAATGTGTTTGGTATAGCTTCTTAAATGATTTTAGATAACTAAAATTGCTTTTTACAAAATCTATAACGTTTGATAATAAATAAATAAAAATATTTTAAAAATCAAATTAGTTTAATAACATTTTCTGAAGAAACCCTCGAATGATCATCCAAAAGTGATGGACACTTTTATAGTTTGAATAGTTGAGAGATGATAAAAAAAAATGCTTAAACAGTTAAACTAAAAAGATAAGCGAAGAGAAACTCACTCTTAAAAGAGAGGGACATGATTTGCAAGTTTCAACAATTACAGAAGCCTATGATTTGCAAATAGGAGCCTTACCAGGACGGGGACGATTGGATGCTGCCAACGTTCCATTCCCCATCCCCGTGAAATTTTTCAAAATTTTGCGAGCATCGGGTTCCCAACGGAAAATTATTCTCCATTTGTTATTATTATTATTTTTTAAGAGCTCAACCGTCTCGTCCCCGTCACGTAACACCCTTATTTGCAAATTATCACAAGTCCCAAATATATGGAGAAGTTTATGTTGAAGTTTGGGGTGTTTGATGACAGGGTTTTCAGGCATTTATAACCAAAGTGGTGAATCAACTAGAAGTGAACCTGAGGCGCATCCATGGGCTGGGGGTCCCAAAGATAGTGGTGACTGCTTTGGAACCACTGGGGTGCCTTCCCAGCAGCACAGTGGCATCCTCCTTCCAGCAGTGTAATGCCACTGAGAATCTGCTGGTCAACTTCCACAATCTGCTGCTGCAGCAATCTGTGGCAAAGCTCAACAGTGAACTCAAAAATGGCACTTCATCCACTTTCATCCTTCTTGATCTCTACTCCTCTTTCATGGCTGCTCTCAACAACAAAGGAGACCATCTTGGTGACTCTCTCTCTCTCTCAATCTTTTTTGGTTCATGTTTCTACTTTATTCCTGTTGGTTAATGAAAATCTGCTCGATGATTGATCTTCCTCAACTAAACACCCCTGGGTGATGATGAAATAGGCTGATGTTTAACATATTATAGTGTCTGAGTTTCCTTGATAAGGTAGATAAATTGCGAGCGTGCATCTGATTGTTTATGATGTTGGTCCTGCTGCCCATCTCACTCAAATCCTGTAACGGAAAGAGTCATTTTTTGTTCCTTATTTGTTATGGTCCGTGTTTCTAATCCCTATTATCGGCCTCCGCTCCATGTACTGAACTTGCTATCTCAGTAGGTTTTGTCTTGAACTATTGGATTGATAGAATTTCCTACCTTCCATAACAAATGAGTCGTTCGGGTTAATAGTATAAATAAAAGATTAAATTACCGTAATCCATTAACTTAAGTTTTTAGACTCAGTGGTAGTTTAACATGGTATCATACTAAGAGGTCTTCAATATCTTGGAATGTTATTCCCTCCCTAATTGATAATCACTTGTTGGGCCTTGTACTATTTTCCAAGCCTACAAGTGGAACGAGAGTGTTAAAAGTATGATTTAAATTCTTATGAGTTCAGCAGTCATTATGAGTTTGGTAGTCGTTTAACAGTCCACTTCCTATTTCTTGTCATGGTCCTTGTTCCTGACTCATGTTAAAAAATTCCCACCCTGTTAACCATGCTTGCCATGTATAAATTAAATTTCCTACCTCTTGTCACAAATCTAGAAAATGGTAGCTAGCGTCTTTAATCGAATGACTTAAAACACTCCTCCATAAGAAGTATCATCAGATTGGTTGCAACCACAACCACACCTATTCTTTGTCTATGGATTTATATTCTTTACAAGCTTCTAACTATCTCTTACAAGTAAATGATCGGTTACTATCAATATTCATGGGGTTCCATCTCAAAACCAATTGGCAATGAGAGGAGTAGCCCATGTCTATTATAAACCATTGTTAGATTCCTTATGTTTTCAATGTGGGATCCTTAACATGCCCTCTCAAGATCGTGGCTCTTTTGGCTCATCGATCTTGGTCGGATCCCATTTTTTTGGATCGGATGCTCGTTTGAACGTTTTGGGCTCTGATACCATATTAATATTCATGGAGTTCCATCTCAAAACCAATTGGCAATGAGAGAAGTAACTCAGGTCTATTATAAACCATTGTTAGGTCCCTTTTCTTTTCAATGTGGGATCCTTAACAGTTACCTACTCAACAAGTCACACCGACCCCCGGAGTAACGATGCAGTCGAAAATTGTGTGTGCAGGGAATGTGAAGTTTGAGAACCCATTGAAGCCATGTTGCGTGGGAATAAGCAACGCGTATTCATGTGGGAGTGTGGATGCAAATGGGGAGAAGTATGCAATATGTGAAGATCCAAAAGCAGCATTTTTCTGGGACGAAGTGCACCCTTCTCAGCAGGGCTGGTTCGCTGTCTACTCTGCCTTGGAAGCAAATCTAAAGCAGCTTTAAGTTTCAATTCCTTTAGAGATCAGATAAGTCATCTCATACTTTGACTAAGACATTTCATTCATTCAATGCTCATTTCTCCTCCCTCTCATGTAATTTTCAAATAATATTTGGCTTACTCCCTCTGCCTCTGCTCTCTGTTTTACTTGTATGTAATCCTCTCTCTCTCTCTCTCTCTCTCTCTCTCTCTCTCCCTCCTGTGTGTTTATGTAAGTTTCTGTCTTCTTCTTCTTCTTCAAGTTCATAGCCAGTGGTGTAACTCTGTCGGGTCGGGTCGGTTTTCAGGCAACAGAGGAAAAACAATCATTGCTAATGTTTGTTATTCCTCTATCTCTGTGTATGTGTATGAAACTTTCCATCTTCTAGCTCAAGTTCGTCTCTAATTTTTGTTTTCTCAATCCTTTTTATGGTTTCATATTGAAGTCTCTGGCTATCTGATGTGTTTAATACAAATTCTCTCTTATTGGTCTAAGTTCATGACTATTTTTTGTTCCTACTGTAACTTTCCTTTATAAACAACTATTTAATATCGGCAAGTTGCACATCATTAGTAAATGATGCTGACGTGATTGATAATAAATAATAGTATCCATATTCTCGTAGTATAGTAAATTTTATCGTTCTCTCGAGCCTTTTTACTACTCTTTCATATGTTCAACTTCATGTTGATGGATCTCTTTTCTCTCTCTCTCTCTCTCTCCCTCTTTTCTTCTGCTGAAAATATACTTTGTCTAATTAAAAATAGAATTTATGGTAGGATCTTCCTTCTTTTGGGTAAATTAAAGGCAACCCATCTTGAAATAAGTTTAGGGTTTTTTTGGGTCATTTTTCTTTTTCCTTCCAAAACAGGTAAGACAAAGACAGCAACCAAGTTTACTGTCTCTCTGGAGAAGAAAAGACAAAAAGGGTTGCTGCTTCCATGTTCCAACAAACCAGTTAGTTAAAGATGGAACATTGATTGTTGTCAATTTTCCATTAATGAAAACATTGCCATGAAATAASTGTGATGAAAAAATATAACTCAATTTGCAAATAATGAGTGATGATGAGTAGAAAATTTTAGGTTAAAAATTACTTTTTGGTAATCACAATTTCATTAAAGTAAGGCTTTGGTCTCTGTCCTTTCAACTTTAGTCTACTCAATATTTAAGGACAAAATGGAAGTAATCATTACCGTCCGTCTGTATAATAGAGAAGATGGATGTGTTCACTATTGGAGTACTCTCAAGTCTTTTTTAATCGTGTTTTCTTGTGCAAGGTTATCGACATGAGCATGCAAGGATGATCATTATCGATAAAGACAACAACAATAAGAACAAACGTTGCTATAACATCGACTTGACAATAACAAAACTAAAAATGTTGAGATGTATACTGATATTGTCTTAGAAAACATATATGAATATCAGAAAACATATATTGTCGCACTTTATTAATTTACAAATTATTGTGCTAATTAAATTATCTTAATAGTATTTTAAGGCAAACTTCCAAAATCAACACTTAACCAAGACTCACCAAATAAAATTTGAAAATGACTTCGAGAATTTTAATATTATTTTTTCTTTAAAAAAAAAGCATCATAGCATTCTATGAGGTTAGCATTACAACTACCAACTGCCGCCCTCCACCATCCTTTCTTGATTTGGCTCCACTACCCATCTCCTAAAACTGATAAACATGAACATTTCTCACATTTTTTAAAGAAAAAACAAATTAAATCATCTTCATTATTTCATATCTTGAGAATCAAAATTCTCAACAAGGATTCGATTTGATGTTTTATTAAAACCCATCCTATCAAACTATATGTTATTAACTCATTATATAGTTACTCAGGGTCCATTTAGTAACATTTTCGTTTCTTGTTTTGAGTTGGTGAGAAATATAATCATTTGGTAATTGTTTGTTTCTTCGTTATCAAATAGTTTCTAAATTGCTTCATTTAAGAAAAAAAAAGCTTGCCACATAGATTATTTAAGTTCATTTATTTTATCACTTGGATAAAAACTTAGAGACCAAATAAAAACTAAACTAAAAATTTAACTCGAAAATCGAGGTTAAAAAAGTTTTTTTTTTCCTATTTGGTGCACTTTGGTGTTGATGAAGGCCACCTCTCAAAGTGACCAACATATCACATCAAGGAAATGGGCCAATTCCAAGTGGTCTCCAATAGTGGTTGCCAATTGGCATCCCCACATCCAAATTTTGGTTGCAATACTATTTCCTTATCTAATGGAAGTTTGGCATATGATATGGATTAATTGATTATTTTTCCCGTCTCTTTTGATAACTATTTTATTTTATTAAACTTGATTGATAATGATTTTATTTTAAGTTGTATGATTTCAAAAACAATAAATACTAGCTTTAATACTTTTTTTAATGTCAAAGTGAGCATAACTCAACGTAATTGGCATATATCTACAATCAAGAGATTATGAGTTCGATCATCCATCCCAAAATGTTATATTCAGAAGAAAAAAAACCACTCTTTATCAATTTATCTGGATAGAGTTTATAAAACAGAGATGTCACGTATCGTCTCAAGATTAATGAACAAGATAGATTGCCTATCTTTTCAAAGCTGCCCCACTGAAAAAAATATTGTATAGGATCTGTTCTTGGTCAAAAATTGTATATAGTGAAAAATCATCTTTCTTATTAAGAAAGATGTTTACTTCTTAAAATATTTCATATAAAGGTAGGGTCAGATTTATTCTGAAAAGAGTAAAAGGATTCAATCCAATTGACATTAAATCCAATTAATGGTTTACACGTCACATAACTTTGTAAAATAGTACCTTTTCCAAAGATTAGAGCCCTACTATTCTAATTAATCAAATTCCAAATATCACATGCCTAAAATTACTTAGTCGCTCAATGAGTTAAAATAAAGGTCGTCGATTAAAAGGTCGTGTGTTCGAATTTCGACTAAAACAAATTACTTAGACAAGTGTAAATTAAATGATTATTAATTCTGATTTTTATTAATACAACAAGTGAGGGTGAAGGTGAAGATCCGAACTCACGATAATTTAATCATAGATTGATGTCTTAATCCGTTGAGCTATACTCACCATTTCATCAATTTTTATGAGTACAAAATAATTAATTTAAAGTTTTCAATTCCAATATCATTGCTGCATGACCTCTATCTTATGGTTGTAATTTGATTACAAAAAAAAATCATTAATAATGGCTGAAAATCAACCCCAATTACTAAAATATATTTTTAACCACATGAAACCAATAGAACGTCCACCAATTATTTATTTTCGGTTTAAATATTATTTTAGTCTCTTCATTTTCATCTTTATTCTTTCACAAAGTATATTTTGATTTATATATTTTCAACTTTTGCTCATTTCAGTCATATATTTTTCAAAGGTTCATTTTAGTCTCCGTACTTTTAAAAGTTAACTATTTTGATTCCTTCATTTTTATTTTTATCTCATTTCTTTCAATAAAATGTGACCATAAATTTGTATTAAAGATTTTTTTTATTGTCACATTGTGTATAAAATTGGTGTCAAAATTTTTCCAATGTGAACTAAATTAGTCACTTTAAAAAGTACAAGAACAAAAAAGAAGACTTATAAAAAAAAGTTGAAAGTACCGAACCAAAATCAACTTTGATCTTAAAAAAAAAACCACACAAATCGAAATCAAAATTACAGGACAAAAATARTATTTATATAAGCAAAATAATAGGTAGAAAATTATATTTTTCAGCTACCATTAATATCTATTAGGGTGTGTCATCAATGAAAAGGACTTCCATGTGATCTACTCGCTATTTCTATTTTATATATTTTTTTAAATTACATTATTTTCGTTTTTTTATTCTAAATTTGGAAAAAAAAAACATTTTATGAAATAATTTTATACTAAAATCATGTGTCATGTAAACAAATCATTTTTAACCCCAAATTATTTATTTTGTTAACAATTTCTTAGAAAGTAAATAAATCTAGCTAATTGAAAATCAAAAGAAATTCATATGAAAACTTGGGTTGTGTGGATATTTATTTTTAAAAAATATTTTGTAAATCTCACCCCTTTACCAATATGAATTCGAGATTTCTTTCATAACCCTCGAAACATTTTCATAGCGACTGGTTGGAATTATTTGAGCAATTCATGTAATCGTGGACCTATCGGAACTTGTTTCTATTTCTTACCATTACTTCAAAAATATAACACGTTTATATCGGGCCATGTTTTGAAAAATTGTTACTATTTCTATAAAGATGGTGTTATCTTATCAAGAAATAGTTCTCTCTATTGGAAACTTTGTTTCTATTTTTAAAAATAGAAAACTATTCTTAAACCTAACTTTCAATCAAATCATGCCTTTCTTCATGAAACCATTTAAACTTGGCTTTATCTCCAAACTACCCTTTTTCCTCAATTGTGGAAAATTTTCAACCAAACCTTGGAGAGAGGGAGACAAATAATAACACATGATTGATATTTTTTTTTTTCCTTAAATTAATGGGTCAAGTTGGTCATTTTGTTTGAAAATATTATGTACCACTTTTGAATGGATCAAAATTGGGTTCATAACAAATATAATTAATTTGATTGATGATTGAAGTTGATATGACCAATATTTTTACCATTCCAAGTCAATAGTTTTAGTCACACGTAGATCGATTTAAGGTATAAAATCTTGAACGCATCTATAAATTTTCTTGTTTGTTTTATGTTGGTCTTTAAATTTTTAAATAGTTTCTTCGTAAATGATAAATATTGTTCGTATAAAAAATATTGTAGTCTTTGTAGTTGATTTTTTCAACTATCATCGAATTATGGAATCTATATCTAATTTACAATGTTTGGTTTTAAATGCGAGTCTATATAAAAACGTCATCACGTTAAGTTCATTAGACGGAAAAGTTAGGGTTAAATTCCCCACTTCAATCAACCAATTTTTCTCCTCTCCAAGAGTTTGAAGCTCACCACGAATTCGAACTCGCGACCTTTTGGTCAGAGATAAGTGTCTTAACTACTCGAAATAGGCTCGATTTGACCCTCTTATATTTTTAATTGATTTTGGATGGTTTGTAGAGAACATAAAGTTGATTTTGCATAGGTCCTTTACTTCTACTCCTAAATTTTGGTTGGGTGAAATGGTATTTATGAAGATTTATATAGTAATCAATGCACAACTTCACAATTAACCATCAATTTTACTTAATTAAAGTATCATGTATTATATATTTTTTTTAGTTCTAACGATATGCGAGGATGAAGATTTGAACTTCTGACCTTTGATCGAGGATATATGTCTTGACCAATTAAACTATGCTCTGATATGTATCACATATTTACTCTTTAATTAGATTTTTTTCATTGAATGTCTAAAATTCAAATTGATTGTCGATCTAAATAATCAAAATATTACCTACAATTTTACTGCTCACTAAAAGATTGGAATAATTACAAATGAGCTAAACATTTATGGTTTCATAATTAATGACATTTGTTAAATTAAGTACTTATATAATAAGTAGTTTTTGGAAACAAACATCCTTGAAGGTTTCCTCTATTGACTTTTTCTTTCTATTAAAAAGAAAAATCTTAAACCATATTTTATTGTCTAAAATTTTAAAAATACTTTTTAATAAATCCAAAATACTTTTTACTCCTCTCTAAAATTTTAACCAAATCTATAAATTAAAAAAGATATATAGATTTTTAGTCACCTATAAGCACTTTAAAACACGTGAAACGCGAGAAATGGAAACAAAATACATTAATAATATATTATATAATTTATTCATGTTTTTTTTATAAAGATTAATATTCTTTTATTAATAAAAAATATTATGAACAATTTAGAATATTTTTTTATTTGTTATAAAGTTTTTTTTAGATACTGAGAAACCAATACTTTTTCGACATTGAAAAACTATTAGGCATCTCAAAGATTTAAATTAGCATGTTCTACCAATTATTAGATCACGTGGCTGTATACTTCATTAAAAAGAAAAAACATTGCAATTTAATTAAAATATAGTTTTTTTCACCGCATTTAAAAAAAAAAAAGAACTTTTCTTTTAATTCTAGAAAATTTTTTAAAATAAAACATATTTCTAAATACTATTATGTATATTTAACATTCGGCTAGAATTTGGTTCTAAAACGAAGCCTATGAAGTAAATATTAATTAACAAACCAATCTTCCAATTAGTTTTATAATTGAAGATAAAAGGGATAGTTTATGTCTATTATAAATATTTTAAGATCCATTTTATTTTTAATATGGGATCCAAGCTAAATTCTTTTCAATTATCGAAATGTCATCCCAAAAAAAAAATGTCACATGCACACCAAATAATGCACCTTAAAAAAAACATAATCATCAAAGTTCACAAATTAAATTTGTAGTTTAATCAATTTATTTATTTATTTTTATTTTTTGGGTACAAGATACGATTTGCTATGAAAAAATAATAATAATAATAAACGTTGTTTTGTTTATATTAAAGCACGAGTTTCTCATGCTCATTTCCATTTTCCTCCATTTTTTATCTTTATTTTTTACTCTCTTTTATTCTCAAGAAGATCTCTGGACTAGATTCACTGTACTACCATCCAAACAAGTCAATTAAATTATAAATTTGATCTATAAATTTTGAATGTCGGGTTGGATTAAATTCCTGAATTTTAAGAATGGTATAATAAATCTTTTATTGTTCAAACTATTAACGTTCATTGTTTATTGTTTCTCATTTTAAAGTTAATCACTGATCGTTTGATAACGTTCTCGTTTATTATTTATCATTTTTTATTTTTAGTAAAGAAACATATTATTGCATTTGGTTTTGATTTAGTTGGAAATGACAACAAAAAAACAAGAAAATTAGGATCTTTGGATAATGTTTCAGTTTATTCTTTCTCGTTTCTAATTTTTTTTTAAGAAATTTAAACATTTTACAACTAATTTGTTTCTTGTTTATTCTGTTTTGAAAACATTCTTGTTCTCATTTCCAATTTATTTCAAACATAAATAAAAAAATTATTTTGTCATACCTGAATTCGAAGGTTGGAATCATGCACCACATTTTTCTTCATTAAAAATAAAGAAATCAATACAAATTTTAGAATGTTACCAAAAACAAGCCCTTGTTTTCTTTCCCCAAAATTTCTATACAATTTGTATAACGTTTTCAAACAAAAAATAAAAATAATTGTCAAATGCTTAAGTTTTTCAATAAAACTAGAGACAATAAACAAGCAACATGAACGTTACAACTCATTACCAAACGTTCTTGTTTCTTTTTTTGTTTCCAATTTATATTTGTTAGGAATAAGAAACAAGACCTAGGAATATAATTGAAATACCTTAAATTTTCAATTTTGTATCTAACTAATGGGTCTATTTCAAAAATTACCTTCTTTTTTTTTTTTTTTTGAGAAGACAAAAATTATCTTCTTGATAATGAAAACTTGCAGTTTTGTATATGCTTCTTTTATTTCTAAAGTCTATTGAGCTATATTATATTAGATTATATTATACACAAAGCTTAAAAAGTTTAAAAATATAATATTGAAAATTGTTACTATACGATGGGTACATCATTCCACTTATTATCAGCTCACTATTTAAAAATGATATGAAATCCAACCAAAAAAAAGAGTTAAAAGAGAGAAATTCATCGTGTGAAAGAAGAGAATGAATGCAATAAAATTATAAAAATTTCTCAAAATTGATAAATCTTAGACACATTAGAAAAATACTTAGATCTATCAGCGATAACCTAATTATCATTAAAATTTTGACAAGTTCGAGAACAAACAAAAAGACCATAACTAGTGATAATTGACGTATGAACGAGGAAAAAAAACCCATAAAAGGACTCTTACATTTCCAATTTCCATGATCCTCTGTTCTTGAATCCTTCTTCTTCTTCCCAATGGAACTACACTTCCTCCTCCTCCTCGTCTTCTCTCTCCTCTTTCTCTCTCTAGCCCTCCTTCTGTTCAAACCCAGACTCCTGTGCGACTGCGAAATCTGCCGCGCCTACATGACGTCATCCTGGTCGGAAAATTACCTCAACCTCTGCGACTGGTACTCCGATCTCCTCCGCCGGTCTCCGACCAAGACCATCCACATCCACGTCCTCGGCAACACCGTCACCGCCAATCCCGACAACGTCGAGTACATTCTCAACACCAATTTCGACAACTTCCCCAAGGGCAAAAACTTCTCCGCCATTCTCGCCGATTTTCTCGGCCGCGGAATCTTCAATGTCGACGGCGATCTGTGGCGCTTCCAGAAGAAAATGGCCCTTCTCGAGCTCGCCCACCACTCCGTTAGATCCTACGGCTTCGAGATCGTTTGCCACGAGATTCGGAGCCGCCTCGTCCCGCTTCTCCAATCGGTCGCCGGAAAGGGCGACGGCGGGGGCTTGGATTTGCAAGACGTGTTTAGGAGATTTGCTTTTGATTGTATTTGTAAATTTTCGTTTGGGTTGGATCCTATGTGCTTGGAGCTGTCTCTTCCGATGTCGGATTTTGCTGTCGCTTTTGATGCTGCTTCCAAGCTTTCCGCTGAGAGAGCCATGGCGGTCCCGCCGGTCTTGTGGAAAATCAAGCGGATTCTCAACTTAGGTACAACTTATCCAAACTTCAGTTACCGCTTCAACTATGCTTAGATTGACACTAATTAACTCGCCCTCTTGTTTCTTCTTTTCTCGAAGTTAACTAATCTTACAAGCCCACATATTTTGATCAAAATCGAAAACTTTTGATTCTGTTCTTAGATTGGCATCTATTGGGTCGGTTTTAGCACCAATACTGAAACTAACTTTACCTTTTTAGTAAAAGAAGTCTTTTTTCTCATTCGGTTTGGGACAGACCAAATAGAGAATGAACTACAGAAGTAGAGGCAATTCATCCTATCGAAGTACTAATAGCTTTCGAAGCTTACACTCACTTCTTAAAAAAAGACTTTAAGTAGCGTAGAATCTAAGCATTTTGAATCAATCCATCATCCAGATTAATCAAACTATCCATTCCATCTTAATAGGTTACTACTACATATTTAAGAGACATTTGACCCACGGGTTTGACATAGGTAACCTAAATTTGTTAAGTGTGGGAGGTTGATTTTAGGATATTGTGTAGTGCGGGAGTTACGTAGCATGAGTTTGAGTAGTCTGTGTTTGGAGCGTAGAGTTAGGTAGTCTAAACTTTTGTAATCTTTTTTGTTTCGTTGGCTAGTGGGCTAGAAATTTAAAAAGCCCACGAATGATTATCGAAGTTAAAAATTTTAATGGATAAATAAGTTTTGATTTGGTTTTTCAGGGAGCGAGAGGGAATTAAAGCAATCAATGAAGTTGATCAACATGTTGGCCGGAGAAGTGATCCGGCAGAGAAGAAAAATGGGATTTTCGACCCACAGAGATCTGCTCTCTCAGTTCATGAGAACAGTTTCCGACGAAACTTTCTTACGGGACATCGTCGTCAGCTTCCTTTTGGCCGGACGCG